CAAGCGACGGTGGGTGAAGAACGAAGAGAGAGTTTTTGGAGAGAAGATTGAGAAGGAGAAAGGGAAGTAAGGAAGAAGCCGGAGAGAGGAGCGCTCGACATTTGCTGGTGGAGAGTAGTGAGATCGAGTGAGTTTGTATTTATAGTAGTAATATAAGACTTAAGGAAGCTACTTAAAGTGAGTATATTATGGAATTGGTGAAAGATTTGGAGCGTTTAAAAGAATGGTGTCTCATGGTGAGAACGAGGATAAGGAAAGCGATAGGTGAGGTGAATAAGAAAGTTTCTTCTCTTTTGTGGATGAGGAATATTAGCTGAAGATTTCAAGTTTGTACGTGCTCTTGTTCTTACAAATTTCTTAATTATTATTTCAATTTTAGAAAATAAAAGGTCTCTCAAAAGCGTAGAGGATAAGGTGCATATAAGCCTTATCACCAAAACAAGTATCGGCCTCTATCACTTACCCACTCAGGTACTCATCTTAAATAAGCACCACCCACTTTAGATCGTAGGCCATTGTTTGTGGTGCATATCAAAGAGCCATACTTCTCTAAGCCTTCTAGAGACTGCGAGGATCCACATCGATCATGGACTATTCTATACTATGAATAAACAGACTCGGTGAACCCTCGTAAAAGGAACTATAAAAAGAGAGAACAGAGCCATAAGCAACATCTATCTCAGATCCTCTATGACTATAAATCAATTATATAACCAAAATTGGGGAAAGAACAGAGTTTCTATTTCCCAACATATGTTAGAAACGAGAGAGAGAAGTTGAAGAAGAAAGACAAAGACGAGAACTGCACAAGGGTTGCTTTTGTGACTTATAATATGTAAGATGGGGGCAATGGCGAAACTATGTCGACATTTTTCATGCAAACACACACACACACAACATAACGTCAACATTCTTTTCTTGTCATCGAGCGTTGCTTTTATTTATTCATTTGGAATAAAAAATGAAGATGAGCACTGAATTTCAGAAAGACATTACGAGTATACCTTGGCGAATGGATAGAGACAGAGGAGTTTGATGTAATATTAACTTATGTCAATAACAAAACTTCTACTTTGGGCATAGTCTTATTGGACAGACTGAGAATGCAATACACCGAGCTGCTTTTGCCAACCTGAACCTTTCGCTCTCTGTCAGCACTCTCTCGATCACTTTTATGATATTTGCATCCTGCAAAACATTGTAAGAGTTGTTTCAGATATATATCTTAAACCAATCAGGCAGATATATTGTGGAACATTTATCCAAGTTTTTTCTATTGTATCAAGAAGAGACTACTGTATTCTAATAGTAACCTTTCTTGGTTGTTGAATAGTTGGCCTGACGTTAGCAACATCACCAACCACTATTATATTGTTAGTATTTCCTCGATCATCCCTTTCTGTTGGCGAACTTGTGGAATGCCGCCAATCACCGTTGATTATGTACTTGTAGTAGTATCTGCCACAATGATGAGATCACCATATTATATGACACAAATTCATTTTCACAAGTTTCCAAACTATAACACCTTTGAGATCTCTTAAAACCCAACATCAACCAACATGCAGGACAATTATGGAACGTCTTTTCTGTTGAACATTGAGCATAAGCATAAATGGGAAAAATTCAAAGAAGCAAGACTTACTTTCCCTGTGAAAGCCTAACTTCTGTTTCAAAACGTGGACCGCCCTTGTGTGTTGCCTTTATCGGTTCTTTCCAATTTCCAGTGAAATCCCCAACCAACAATACATCCTCCCCCTGTGATAGAGCAAACCAAGGTGCAACTTTAAACCCAGAGGCCAGTTGAGTTCCTGAAAGAATTGCACCAAAATAATAAAAGCATGTGAAGCTATACTCACCTCATGTCCATTCCAAACAAAGGTTACAGAGTGTGTTGGAGGATCATCATGTTTGCCATCGTCCACCATTGCAATTAGATCCCATGTTGCCCAAGCAATTGCAGGTCTGTGCGAAAAAGTTAAATGTTCTTTCCATCAAAACAGAAAAAGTTAATGATCAAGAGAGAGATGAGATGAATGAAAAACCTGTCGGGTTTGCAAGCGTGCAATCCTGTGACGAAACTATAAGCAGCATGAAGAGAGGTATCAGTCATCCAGTGTAGATAAGCAATCACACAAGCTGACGAGCGGTCAAAACCAGTGGTACAAGTTACAAACACACGATGGTTCTTTTTAAGTAAACGTAGTAAGAGCCCAACACAAAGAGGTAGCTTCTTCCTCAGATCAAAGGAATCTGCATCCCTGGCAACAAAATGTCAAAAGATTTATTATTCTTGTTCACACCTGATTAGAGCGCTAAGAAAAGAAAACATCTGAGGTTCCTCAAGGCGATATAAATTTGTATACCTTATAGGATAGTTGATCATTAAGATTTCAGACTTCTGGCATGCATCATTGATTTTTTGTGAATCAATTCCCCAGTTTCCAGCTTCAGTTCCACCTTGGAAATTCAGTATAGCAGTAATTCCCTGAAGCAGAAAAGCTTAACCAATCAAAACCAAATTTACAATGCTGTCATTTCAGACCATAGAAAACAATTTTTTCAGCTATAGGGACTATAAAGCACTCACTGCGTTCGACAAATTTTCTACATCATCTTCTGTTTGTATACATGAGCCAACATATATCTGTTCTGTAATCTGCAAATGGCCAACAACAGAAGAATGGTGTTGAAAGATTGAAGAGGAAGAACGAGGATATAAGCAAGGCTACTCAGTAAAAGAAAAACTAAATTTCAGACCTTACTGTAGCGCATTCCAAGAGCATGATTATAGTGCAGTTCTCCTTTCGATCGGTCAAGGGCTTTGATGTATTCCTCTAAAGGGAAATTCCCATAACCCCATTCCCCATCTCCGGGCACTTCTTCTGAAAAGACACAGACGAGTGGACTGATAGGTGGAGAAAGAATGTTCTTCTGTGTCCCTGATTGAAAGGAATTGCTCTGTCTGGTCAAAAGTTTCCATCCCTGGGAAGTAAAGAATTTAGAGGAAAATGCAGCATAGCCAGAGTTTCCACTGCCTTCAGATGCCCGCAGATTCGATGACAAAAGATCTTTGTTCCAAGTAACAAAGGCCACACGTCCTCTGTTATACAGCATATCAAGGTCGCTCAAGTGAAGTAGATACTGCACTGGATACGGGGAGAATGGTCTTTCAAGAACAAGGCTAAACGATCCAGTTCTTTCTACCAGCATCTTCCTGAATAAACCAAAAACTGGAAGAAATAAAAAAGAAAAATTCATAAACATAACAATATAGTCAGCATTCAACTCACATCACTGCACAAAAATACTAGATATCGAAACACTGATTTACAAAGTGCTTCCATGAAAACTCCAGCTATGACTGTTCGACATGAAAACCAAACAACTAAATAGGTACAAAATGACTTTTCCATATTAAAATGTCAAGCAAAGGATAAGTAAACCAACCAAGACATGGTAAATATCTAGCCATGTAACAGAGTGCTAGCGATAGTTACC